TGTCTGCATAGCCTACTAAAACGTCAACATTGGGTATTTTATGAACATGTTGCAGTAATCCATAAAACTCCTCAAACTTTCCAGGTTTTGATCTTTCCAGTGAAAACCGACGAAATTCAGCTCCAAACTACAAACAAACATATTAATTTTAAAAAAGGTAACAGGATCCAATCTTACAATGCATGACAGAAAAATTCACAGACACGAGTTTCCTTTAATAAAGAAGACAGTTTCAACCACACAGTTTATAGTCAGAAACCTCACTGAAAGTGAAAGTTGCTCAGTCGTGTCCGACTCTTTGTGACCCTATGGACTATACAGTCCATGGAATTCTCCAGGCCAGAATACTGGAGTGGGTAGCCTTTCCCTTCTCCAGGGGATCTTCCCAACCCAGGGATCGAACCCAGGTCTCCAGCATTGCAGGCAGATTTGTTACCAGCTGAGCTACCAGGGAAGCCCCTAGAAACCTCATTATCTGGAGATAAAACAGCTTAGAGAAGACAGAAATGTGCCTGCTCACAGCTGCATCTCTGAAGGGCATTCCCTTCAAGATATGCAGGCTCAACTTAATCCCTGGGGTACCCAGGCCTCACTGGGGACTGTCCTGCAGAGTGACTCAGCTCAAACAAACCCTGTCTGGAGTCCAGATCCTGACAACAGTCTTCCCTCCTCACTCAGGCCACGGGGTAATGGAGATGTGCCTAAGTCTTTATTTTGACTGTTAGCAAAAAGCATCTAGGTTTCCTCCCCCATAAAAGGAGTAACAACTTCATAGGAAGTGGCAGGAATTAACTGCAGCATATGCAAGTAGGACTTTGAACTTCTTGGCATTAAGGTACCGTATGAATGGACGCATATCATAGAAGAAATAAGTCTAAAGATAAGTGTCTTCCCAATGTTAATCGTAAAAAAAAAGGCAGGTTTATTAATACATTAAATATATGTCATACAACTATCTAATTAATGCAAAAGTGTTTATTATGTGCTTGGCACAGTGCTAGGCCCTAGAGAATGAAAGGCTCGGGCCTGCACCCGAGCTCAGCAATTAGTGGGTAAAGAGAATAATTATATGAGTGGTATTAAGGAACCACACAGACAGGGCGGACAGCACTTCCATCACGCCCAGTGTTTATCTTCACAATTCTGACACTCATGTCTGCTTCCCCACTCTAGAATCCAAATGCCACATGATTCCAGTGGTTCTTATCCGACACGAAGGGCTGGCTTCATCCAGTCCATGACAAACACGATCTGCGACTCACTACAGAACCGGCATGGCATCTCCTCAGATGTGGAAACCTGGGACAGGCCCATCAGCCTTCCTCAGAAGGTGCCTCAGCCACACAAGTCTGGGAATGCTATATAACTATAATCACGCTCTTGGGACTCACTGGGGAGACCAGTTATCAAAGGCGAGGTGAGGCCCTGGGGTTGATTAAAACAGAAAAAAATTTTTAAAACAAACTGTTTGCCAAATGTATTTGACCACTGAATTCCTTTTCCTCTAAGTATCTATTATTGGGTAGTAACACTAGTTGTACTACCAACAGGGCCTTAAACATCATGCTCAGAAAGTCCCTACTGGAATCATTTAGGTTACAAATGTGTCCATTCACTTCCCTAAGGATTCCATGGGCTCCCTGGATTCACACCGCTTTTGTTATGGTAAAGAAGTTTATCTGCCTTGCTTATACCCACACTATTTGCTAGTTTTCAATTAAAATGAAAACTCACTAAGACCATCTCTTACCTCTAATAAACTGAAAGTTTCCAAAACACATTCCTCAAATGTAAACACTAACATTTGTCAAGAAAATAAGATGACTCACACCTAAAGCCCTCAAAAAGTTTAGTCACACCTTCACGTTTCAAGGTAAATAAAAACTGGGGAACACCCTTCGTATCAGTCAGTCTTATGATGTTATCAAAAGTCATAGTTTCTCCTCCATTTTCTTTATTCTGGTATCACAACATCCCAGTGCATTCTGATTCACCCCCGGGCTTTATTACTTCCCCTGGTGAATGGGAGTAACAGCTAATAATTGAGTATTTTAGGGCTGCAATGTTTTTGCTAAAGCTTGTGGATAAAAATTCTTTGCTCGACATTTTTTTTCTCTTAAATGTTATGATAAAAACAATGGGAAATTGTAAGGCTTCACAGTAGATGGGCCCTTTTGCAAAGTTAGCAGAAAAAAAAAAAGAGAAATTGTTATGCTTCTTGCAGCAGAACAACAGGATTAAGAGAACTTTTTACTACATGAAGAAAAATACAAAAAGAGAGATAAAATTAAGACCCAATCAACAACTATTAAAACTTTTTTTTGGCCTGGTCTAGTTTGGCCTGGTCATGGGGATGGATACCCGTCACCCAGCATCTTTTGGTACAGCACTCTAGAAATGTAACCTGGATTTTAATATTGGTTCCCCATGAACACTAACCAGGAAATGTACAGCTCAATGACTATCCCAGGTCTTTGATATCTAAGACTGCTGAAGAACATCACTTTGGTTAAGAGCTCTCTCAATTCTACAGAAACAGGAAGATAAATGTTACCAAAAAGTTACATGGTAACTGGTATCACAATTTAACTATACTTATATTTGCATGATCCATTACTTTATTTGTACCATTTTCCCCTTCCATGAGCACAAGATATGAGGTTGACACTTGCTTTTTATGCAGAAGAAAAAGAAATCCTGAAATGTGGATCTGCATACCAGAGTTGGGGTCACAACCTCTTCATTATCAACTTTGTAAAGAGCTGTGAAATCACCACCAAAGCAGTGAAAATGGACATATTGTTTCACCCATCTGTCCAAATATTGTTTAAATGGTAAAGATGTCAAGTGCTTTTATTTAACCCCTTAAAAATAAACGTATAGTTAATAAAAAAAAATGTATAGTTAAAACACAAGGTGTCAGAGACGCACTAGAAATCGTACCTCCTCTGTGCCTATTGATCAGCGGCTAGAACACGAGGGGGACCCACTTTATGAGACGCAGGTTCTCAGAATGCCTTGATTCTGCGTAAGAGATACGGTTCACCAGAAGTGCTGTAGAGCAGGCCAAATATATAATGGGTAGTGTGGGAAAGATTCACAAACCAGTTGACAGAAAAGATGCATGGAAAGCCTGAAATTCTAGTCCCTACATGCTCGAGGTTTCCTAATCTGAAGATAAATTAGCATTTGACTGTATTTATCAGAGCACCTAGAATCCCTACTCATTTTTTTCCTATGATAAAAAGTTAAAGACTTGCTACCAAGATTAGGACCCCCGAACTGAATTTTAAGATTACGCAAAATTGTGTTTTTCTTTTCTTAACCTCAACTCCCACAAACCCAAACTAGATTTATAACAGAAATGCCGTGAGAAGGTTCAACCATTGGGCACGGGACCACTACTACCACTATATGCCAGAGGAAAAACTCTCTATATTTTGTTACCTTAACCCTTAGTTAAGCATGTCACTTCAGTTCGCTATGGCAATTCCATGGAGGACACAGGAGAGAGTGTATTCCTGAAACTGCTATAACTATATTTCTGTCCTTATTCAGCAGAAAGGTTTTTGAAATAAGTACCTATTCTGAAACAAGTTAAGTTGAAAATAACGTTTTAAAATGTTAAAAATGAATGCAGATATCAGTTATAGCAACTAACAGGACTTTACTTGTCAACTCCAGATAATAAAAACCCTTCTACCCCAGAGAGCCTTCCTTACTCTACTTCACTGAAAATCACTCCTTGATTTTGCATTCTCCCTTCCACCCCATCCCCGTAATCTTACACTTGGTAAGGTTTCAATATTTTTGAAGTTGACAAGCTTTTCCTTTTCTCCTATTCTTCCCTGTGTTTTGATCTTCCCAAATCTTATTTTAAATGTTCATGGGGCTCAGCTCCGTGTGCTCTCTGTAGCATTCCAGAAGGCCTAAAACTTATCTTGTATTTAAAAGGGCTTTAAGGTTTTGTCATAAAGAGCAGAGCTTGTTGAAGTCAAAATCTTTCTGAGCCCATGTCTTCTCCGAGAATCAGACTAGATTATCTAAGTCCCTTCTGGCTCTTCAATTCATGAAATGCTTGCTTGAGAATGTTCCTGGGGCTGCCGATCATCTTCAAATTCCAGCTCAAAACCTCCTTGAGAAAGCATTCCCTCACTAATCCTGATACACTGTCCTGCTCAGGGAGCCTTGCTATTTAGGAATTCAGAGGATACCCACACGTATTCATCAGCAGATGGGCATACCGTTGGTCAAGAGGGAAAACACTTGACCTGAAAGAGTAGCAGGATGGAATGAGAAGGGCATCCAAGCTCAAAACTGTGAAGTGCCACTCACACGAAAGGTGACAGTGTGCATTTTACAAGATTCAACGCATACCAAAGTTCGTGCTAGAAAAATCCCTAGCAGGAAGCAAAAGCTAACTTTTACATTTGGGTGACTACGGGTGTTTCAAACACTCTTTACTCACAGGCCAGAAGGCAGAATTCCTCCAAACCTTTCGTACCACCACGCTGCGCTCGCTCAAATGTCCCCCCATCCTCGGGTATGCCTAGGGCCTGACTCCCATCCTTGAAGGGGAATGATTTTTTAAGGAAGGGGATTAAGCGCTCGGCGGGGCTCCTGCCTTACCTGGGGGCGGGAGCGGACACAAGGCCCCCCCATTCTCGGCAAGTTCATTCCCCACCGTCTCCGGCCCCCAAGTCCCCCCAGTGCGCCCCCCGCGGCCCCAGACACTCGGCCAGCCCCTGGGCGCCCCAGGCCCGGTCACTGCGCCCCCCGCCCCAGGGCACCCCCAGCCGGCCCGGGCCCTCGCACCTTGCTCTTCACCTCCATGGTGCCCAGGCAGCCGCTGCCCGCCCCGTGCCGGTGGCCGCGGTTCATCCTGAGGCCGGGCCCGCGGCGGCCTCCTCCAGCCGGGCCGCCCCTCGGGGGCGCGCGGGGCGAGTGCGCGACCGGTGGGCTCGGGACGCGGCAGCGGCGGCGGCGGCCCGGGCTCCTCCTCACAGGCACCTGCAGAGGGGCGGCCGCGGCTCGTGTCTCCGCGCCGAGCCCCGCTCCGCTGGCTCCTCACGCGGCGGGACCGAGGGTCGGACTGGCGGCGCGGCGGGCGGGGACGCGGAGCCCGCCCTCCCGGCCTCGGCGGCGGCCGCGACGGCGAAGGCGGCTGAGGGGGCGGAGCGGCGGGGACACGCGCCGCAGCCTCGCTCTCGGCCGCCAGCCCCGCGCGCGCGCGCGCTCCCTCTCCCCGGGCCGCCGCCGCGGCGCGTGCGCGCGCTCACCTGCAGCCTCCGCCGAAGCCTCGGCGGCCCGCGCTCCGCCCCCACCCAATGGGAAGCGCGCACCTGCGCCCGCGGGGCCAACCAATCGGTACGCGCCTCGCGCCCCTCGTGGGCGGGGCCTCTTGCTCGAAAAACCCTCCTGCCGCCGTTCGATTGGTCCCGCCCGGCGAGGGAGGGGTGGGATCACCTGAAGCCGGGAGGGGCCCGTCGGACCCTGCAGGCGAGCTCCAAAGCGCATGCGCGGGCCCTGGAGTTTCCGCCCAGCGAAGGCCGGCCGGAAGCGCGAGCGCACCTGGAGACGCGCTGGGCTGGGTGGGCCGTGTGCGCACGCGCGGGTGCGCGCTTGGTTGCTCGGGACCCGGCTCGGGCTCGCGTTCCGCTGGGGCGTGGGGGGCGCTTTCCGGCTGGTTGCCGGGCGCCGTGGGGCTGTCCGGTTTCTGCCACCCCTTCCCTCCCTTCCACTTTGGGATGCTGCAGCCTCCAACAACGCCCCTCCGTCACTCATTTGCGTCCTTTAGTCGTCTGGCTGCAACTCGGATTGCAAAATTCCAGTTTTCCCGCCTCTGCAACAGTAACTGGAGAAAAATCTCAGGGTTCTACTGGCTTAATGTCGTTGGTAGAGACTTTCTGCAGGTCCCGTGGAGTCGAGTGGGCGCTGGGAGGGAGGGGAAGTGGGCAAAGGCCGGGGATGGCTCCTCGAAAGTCTGTACTTCTAGATCGGCCCTCCAGGGATTCCCCGCCCCCCTTGTCTTTTAAATTTATTTTTAACCTTTGAGGTCCTCTCCCTCCAGCCATTTCTGTGCTATTCACTGTGTCCACCAGTGACAGCCGCCAGATTGTGTTTGTCTCTGTCCCTCCAGTGGGATGACCAAGCTATGTTCTTGATAACAGAAAACTGAATCCTTCTCTTTAAATGCCCAGAGCTGGGTTTCTCCTCTCAGGGATCCTTTGCAGCACTGGCAGTGCTGGGGTGGTGAGGAGACCTCCAGGCCCCCCCCCCCCCACTTGCAGAGGGGCTCATCACAGAGCTGTGGATCTCTCCTGTGAGCTGGACCTGGGCCTGCGAGTGGCAGTTCTAACCTGAAATGGCCAAGAACAGCTGGCTAGGGTGCTGCATTCCAGGGGAGCCTCTGGCCCTTCCTCGCCTTGCCTCTGCCTTCATCCCTCCTCACGCTGGTACCCCACCTTCCCAGCACGTGTGTCAGATTCCAGTTTCCCCGTGTATTTTGGAGAAGGACGGCTCTGAAAGGCAGCGAGCCCTCTGCTTTGCTCACTGTGATTCCGAGTAGTAGCATCTGCCTGAGTGCTCACAGGTACTCAGATCTGTCTCTGCGGGGTGCTGGAGCTGGGGAGGGTGGTTTCTCCATATTTACATAGCCCCGCCTGAGTTCCAAGGTGGGCTTCTCATCTTCCCGCTCTGAAGGGTTCAGTTCACCAAGTATCTGTGGGGGAATATAAAGTTGTTCTCGCCATTTTGGGTGGAAGTCCAGATGGAAGGGGCACCATCCCAAGCTGAATCATTGTAAAATCTGCCTTCTCTACCTTCTGTTCAAAAGCACCTGCTATGTGACTCAGGCTAAACTGGAAACAAAGTGTGGTGCTATGATGGGCGGCACGGCAGTTTGGTCTTAAGACCTCTTAATACTCTTAAAAATTATGAAGGGCTTCCAGGGATTGTGTTTACGTGTGGATATGTCTTTCAACAGTCATTATTAGAATGAAAACTGTTGGGACTTCTCTGGCAGTTCAGTGGTTAAGATGCCTGGCTTCCAACGCAGGGAACACGGGTTCAATCCTTGGATGGGGAACTATTTAATAAGATCCCATATGCTGCACAAGCATCCAAAAAATACATTTAAAAAACAAAGTTAAGTTAAAACTGAGAAATGTTTAAAACACGAGGGTACATAAGCACAGGGACCTTCCTGGTGGTCCAGTGGCTAAGACTCCAGGTTCCCAATGCAGGGGGTCTGGGTTCCATCTCTGGTCAGGGAACTAGATTCCCCGTGCTGCAGTTAAGACCCTGGTGTGGCCAAATAAGTAAATAAAAAGAAATGCTAAGAAAAGTACACAAACACACATTCCGGTAGTCATCAGGGACATGACATCATCCCAGGTCCCGTCCCTTCTGGAAAATTCCATCATATACCTGTGCGACAAGGAGAGTGAGGAGAGCAAGTGACATCTTAGAATTGTGAAAATAGCTCTGGCTTTGAGAACCCCCTGAAAAGGCCTCAGGGACTCCCAGGGACCACTGGGATGTCTGTACTCGGCTGTTACCCCCTCTTCCTGGCTGCCAGGGCCAGGTGCTGGGCCCTGGTTCCGTGGGAGGGAGTGTTGAGTGGCTGAGCTTTATTACTGTTGTCGGTACTGATTTATCAAGCCCTTTTAAAAAGGAAGTTCGTGGGCGCCAACACCTGCGTGGGCCCTGCATTCCTGGAGGTGTCGTCATGTCCTCTCTGCCCTCCCCCCGGGTGTGGCTCCCCCGTTGGACTTTCCTTTCTAGAAGGAAGCGTCAGGCCCGAGATTTCTGGATCTCCCAAGCGGAATTTGCTCTGAGGCCTGCGTCACACACGCTCCTGGGATGTGTAAGGAAGGAATGTAGAAAAGAGTTTGATTTTGATAAAGGTGTCGTGGAGGAGGGGAGCCCTTTCATTCTGAGAGGGCCTGTTCCGGGCACGAGTTTGTTTTCAGGGCCTGAAATTCAGCTTATCTCCAGAAGCATGAAGCCCAGAGAAACAGCTGAAATGGAGAAGGGTTTATATTCCTGTTTCTTTGGTTTGAAGAGCTGAACCCTAATCTCCTTTCTCTCCACCCCTCGCTCCCCACCCCCAAATCCTCAAGCTAAAGCTGATCAAGACCTATGTGGGGAATGAAAAGCTAGTCCCAGACTTGGGAGAATTCCTACTCAGTGAGTTAGGGAGATAAGCAAGGTGAGTGGATGACACGGACTCTTTAAATTACAGGTTCACAAAGGCATTATTCAGGAGTGATGATCACACCCGTGTACTGTCATCTCCCCAGCCCACCTCCGCCATCTGAAAGAAGTTAGTGAAGGTTTCATTTCAGCTTCAGCCCTCTTTCCAACACTGTCTTTAGTCCTACAACTTCACACGACTGCTATGTCTGTTTAAATGTACCTTGTGAGGTGGAAAGAGTTTGTAATTTTCCACCATTCATTTTATTGATTTACATCTTGCATAATGGTGCTTTTTTGTTTCCTTCCTCCTCTTAGGGGAAAAAAAAATTTGAAAAGAGGTGGCAAGAAGTCACACATAATGGTGGTGAGATTTTTTTCAAGGAGTTTCTCTTGCCAGTTCTTTTTCTCCTTGATTGCTCAAGTGCCACTTTTGATGGAGCTGGTTAATAATTCTTTGAGAGAGAGGTGAAGTGTATACTTATGAACCTCAGACGACTCACCAAAGCATTTTAAGCCCTTTAGCAGAGGTGGAACTAAGTCACGTGGTCTGTTTTCTGGTTAATAGCTTATAACAGTCAGAAACGAATGAGTTATTTTCCTGTAGCCTGTAAGAAATGAGCTACTGTCTTAGGTAAAAACCCGTCTTTTTGGGAGGCAGCCTGCCCTCTAGGAGCTTGCTTTCTGACCCTTCCCCTCTGTGGGCCTCAGTTTCTTTACCTGTAAATGCAGGCATCAGATGAGATCATCTTCATAGTCCCTTCCAGCTCTCAACATTCTGTGGTACCCAGGGGAGATGGAGACTCATCCTTATTTCAGCATCACCAGGGATGAACTAGAAATGAAAAGGGCACTCTTTCCATCAGGGTCAACAGACAGGCAGCAGTCATCAGCTAAAATGTTCCACTTCCTGGGAGGTGTTGATGAAGATGATAAATAACATTTATGAGGGTCCACTCTAGGGGTTTCCCTGGCGGCTCCGACGGTAAAGAATCTGCCTGCAGTGCAAGAGACCTGGGTTTGATCCCTGGGTCAGGAAGATCCCCTGGAGAAGGAACTGGCTACCCACTCCAGTATTCTTGCCTGGAGAATTCCACAGCAGGCGAAGCCTGGCAGGCTACAGTCCATGGGATCCCAAAGAGCTGGACATGACTGAGCGACTAACACTTTTACTCTGATGCCAGGAACTGTGCTAAGTGCCTTCCCTATGAATTATCTTACTTTTTAAAAACATATGCATGTATTCATGAATTTGACTGTGCTTGGTCTTAGCTATGACACGTGAGATCTTCAGGCTTCACGGGGGCATGCAGAGTCGTAGTTGTGACCTGCGGGATCTCGTTCTCTGACCAGGGTTAGAACCTGGGCCCCCTGCGTTGGGAGGGTGGAGTCTTAGGCACCGAGCCAGCAAGCGAGTCCCTATCTCATTTACTTTCAGGAAGAGCTTTATACTTGGAGGCACTGGGATCTTAACTTTTCTTAAGTGGTAGCTGTTAATTTGAGCCCTTGCGCTGCCCCTTGCTGGCTGGGTGACCTTGATCCTGTCCATCCAACTTACTCAGAGCCTCGGAGTCCCCCCTCAGATGAGAAACTAACTGTGAAACTTCTGCAAACCTCAGGTTTGGTGAGAACTCTAGTGGTTATTATTTAACACACAATATTGCCTACCAAAGCCTTTGGTAGAATTTCAAGAAATTCTTAGAGATAAAATAGCAATAGGTAAGAAACCATTCTTCTTGTTTTCACGCAAGAAGAAACAAGAAGTTTTAGTGGCCATCTCTTAGAGAGTCCAAGAGGCAGCCTCGAGGAGCCATAAAGCCATTAAGGATGTGACTCCCAGATGCCTGCATTCTGTGCTGCCTCTGCCATTTTCTAGCTGTGTGGCCCTGGTCGAGTTCTCAAGCTCTCTGAGCCTCGGTTTCCTCACCTGTAAAATGAGGATAGTAGGAGTGTTATTTGCCTTCACTCATGCACAGAGCATTTAGGCTACGACCCAGCAGTGTAAGGACTCCTTCAGTGTTACCGATTATTGTCCTTATTGCTGTCTAATTATTTTTATTACCTACTGTCATAATAGAATTCATTGATGTAATTAAGTAATAAGTCTCAACTGTGTATACATTACAGTCCTTGACATGAGAAAAAGAATAATAATAATAAAAAGAATGAGGCTGTGACTTCTACCAGGGGCTTCCCTGGCGGCTCAGACAGTAAAGAATCTGCCTGCAATTCAGGGAACCTGGGTTCCATCCCTGGGTCGAGAAGATCCCCTGAAGGAGGGCGTGGCAACCCACTCCAGGATTCTTGCCTGGAGAATCCCCATGGACAGAGAGGAGCCTGGTGGGCTACAGTCCATAGGGTCGCAGAGTCGGACATGACTGAACAGCTAAGCACATGATTTTTACCATCTAGAACTTCACAGTTCACATACACATTGGCTCAGCAAGTATCCTTGGATGCCTACTGAGGATCAGGCAAGGAGACAGTAGTATGAATATGATCGAATTCTTGTCTCCAAGGAACATGTGTCTAGCTGAGATGTCAGACCCTCGGAGAGATATCTTCTGGAAGTGATGTGTGGAGTAGTTAAGGCAGGGAGGTTTGTTGGAGTTCACATCTTGGAGCTCACATCTGGCTCCGTCACTCACCAGCTGTGGAACAGTCGGCACACACCTCCGTCTCCCTAAAGACCACCTCTCTCTGGAGTGAAATGAAGAGAGTGATAATATCTACCTTCTTTGAACTAGTAAATATTTATTGAGCGTCTATGATGTGGCAGGCACTTTTCTAGATGGTTAAGGATACAGGAGTAGGGAAGACAGGACTGAATCCCTGCCCTCCTGGGACTGACATTCCAAGGGAGGAGAGACACAGATAGGCAAATTAAATTCTTAGAAGATAGCATGTTAAGTGATGAGAGCTATGGAGAGAAAGAAAGCAGGGAAGGAGGATGGGGAGGGCTAGGGAGCTTGGGGGTGGGGTGAGGGCTAGAAGGGAAAACAAAATTCCAAATAGGGTGGCAAGGGAGGCCGGTCTGGGACACTGCAGAGGAGAAAACCATCCTGGGAGCTTCTCGGGCTAGTGGGGGCAGGGTGGGGGGGTCAAGGATGGGGGGAAGCCTTCCAGGTGGGGGGCTCAGCGTGGGCCTGATGATGCCAGGAGATAAAGCTCTCCGTGCCTGGCACACAGCTAGTGCTCAGAAGACTCCAGCTGCTATTTTGAGCCATTACTCAGTGCGAAGGCCAGGGTAGGAAAGAGGGGGGTGGGAGCAAAGGAGTGAGAATGACTAAGTCAGCCTTGGGGTTGGGGGGGTGGGGGTCTGGAGTGTTTCACGGATGAAGCTTCTTCGCTTGCAGCTGGGGCAGAGGAATGAGTAGGAGTTTGCTAGGGCTGTGGTGGGGTGGGGTGGGGTGGAGGGGTGGTGGGCGGAGTGGGGCTGTCGGGGGAGGAGGCATTCCAGCTTGGCCGCAGGGTTGTGGGGGCGGGCAAGGAACGCGGGGTGCTCCCCGAGCCCCTGCGTGGGGCATGGGGGTGCCGAGCCGGGGTCCTCTGCGGCGATGGGGGCCAGCGGAGTAGGTGGGGAGCAGATGCGATGGGTCTCAAAGGCCGCGCGGTGGGGAGTGTCTGCTTTCTCCAGTTGCTGCCGGGAGACTCCTAGCATCTTTAAAACTGGGCACTGGAAGGAACAGATTGGTGTTTTAATAAGCTCTCCGGAGGAGGCAGGCACTGGGGCAGCGAGTTAATGAGTCTTGCAGGGACCAGTGTAATTAAATGGCAAAGCGAGTGGCGCGGCCTGTGGGACTTCAGGAGGAGGCAGGCCGCCTGGCCGTCAGTTACTCATTCATTCAGCACATTTTTATTGAGGCCCCGCTACGTGCCAGGCACCGCCTGGATGCTGGGGCTGCGGCGGGAGGGGTGGGGGAGAATAAGACCATCTCTTCCCACAAGAGAGACAGATGATGAGCAAATGAACGCAATTTGGGGGTGGAGGCACAAACAGGATGGCTTTCCGGCCCAGGCAGGTGGCCAGGAGGGCAGGGTTTGCAGAAGAGGGACCTGCCTCCAAATCAAGGGCTCACCCAGCCCGTGGGTCTGTATGAAGGTGGGCTTCATACAGGCAGGTCTCCTGGTTCTTTAAGAGAGGCTGAGCATTTTTTTGTTTGTTTTAATTGGAATATAGTCGCTTTGGACTTCCCTGGTGGTTCCGTTGTAAAGAACCCACCTGCCAATGCAGGAGATGCGGGTTCAGTCCCTGGGTGGGGAAGATCCCCTGGAGAAGGGAATGGCAACCCACTCCAGGGTTCTTGCCTGGGAAATCAGGTGGACAGAGAAGCCTGGTGGACTTCAGTCCATGGGGTCAAAAGGAGTTGGATAGGACTTAGCGCCTGACCCAGCAACAACAATCACTCCACAGTGCTGTGTTATCCTCTGCTTACAGCCAAGTGAATCAGCCGCACGTGAACATGGACCCCTGCCCTTGGATTCCTTCCCGTCTGGGTCACCGCTGAGCACTGGGTAGGTTTCCCTGTGCCGGACGCCAGGTTCCCACAGTGACGCGTTCTATACGCAGCAGTGTGTGTGTCGCAGTCCCCTCTCCCAGCCCGGCCCTCCCTCCTCCCCCGCTCGATGTCCGGATATTCGTTCTCTGCATCTGTGTCTCTGTTTCTCTTTGCAAGTAAGTCCACCTGTACCATTTTTACAGATGCCACATAAATGAGTGAATAGTATACAACTGTTTTCCTCTTTCTAACTTCCTTCACGCCACTGGACAATCTCTAGGTCCGTGCACATCTGCAAATGGCTCAGTTTAAGAGAGGCTGGACATTTTCATGCGAAATTCCTGATTCCAGTAACTGCTGGCAACGGATCAGAAAGAATGGAGTGACTGAGGATAAGAGGAGGAGTGTGTGTGTGTGTGTGTGTGTGTGTGTGGGTGGGTGGGTGGTGTGCATGAATTCTGCTTAGGATGGGTTGTGAGAAGAGCTCTGAGGAGGTGGCTCGGCTGGCTGAGGTGAGATGGGAGAGCCTGTGCCGAGGATGCAGGGAAAAGCTTGATGTGTTTGCGGAGCTCAAAGGAAGCCATGCCTGAAGCTTGAGGAGCGAAGGAGAAAAACGGCTTTAAACGAGACCAGAGGGGAAAGGAGGAAAGGAGGGCAGGGCAGGTCAGGCAGGTCTTGTGATGACTTTGGGTTTTCTTCTCTGTGTGTGTGTGTGTGTGTGCTGAGTCACTTCAGTCACGTCTGACTCTTTTTTTTTTTTTTAATGTCTGACTCTTTGCAACTCTGCGAACTGAAGCCTTCCAGGCTCCTTTCTCAGGTTCATTGAAAAGACATCTCTGAACCTTGAGAATTCCAGGAAACCCCGCAGTCCCTGGCAAGCCCTCTTTCATCTTCACAAACATATATGGATTTAGGTACTGTTATCATTTTTATTTTGCAGATGAGGAAACTGAGGAACAGAAAAGTTAAGTAACTCACCCAGGGTCACACAGATGAGTATCAGAGCTGGTGCTCAAATCCAAACTGTTGGATTCCAGAGGCTTCTAGTTTGCCTTTCATAGGGTCAAGTGAATTTCAGTGCTGGGTTTAAACATCTTTCTTCCTTGATGAAATACATCATTTGGTCTGGAAACAGAAAGGCCTGCCTGTGTCCTTTACCCCTTCCCCGAGACAATCCTACGGGTGAAAAGTCAGCTAAGAGTCAGGTTGCAAGACTTGTTGCCTTCTAGGAGCCTTTTAGAAACCCAATAGCCTCCAGGGGATCGGCCCCACGGCCCAGCATCTGATCAGAATTCCCCATGAGATTTTTTTCAGGGGGAGGGAGAGTGTGGTTCACTAAGGAGAGGAGTTTCCAAAATGAAAATAAACCAGCAAACAACCCAACTTGTCACCGGAGATCCAGTGACTTAGCCTTATTAAGTTCAGCGTTAAGGAGACGAGAACGAAATCGTTTATAGAAACCCTCTTCTCCCTCAGGAGATATTTAAGAACTGAATGTATTTTTTTGAAAAAAATTAAAGGCATGCCAAGTTTATGTAAAACTATACCAATGATGAAAGAGGCTAGGGACCAACAACAAGGCCAGCCAGAGCCGATGCCCACAGTCTTAGGCTCTTAGGAAACAGAGGGGCAAAAAAGAGCAAGGAAGCTAGGAGCGTGAGAGCAGAGGGGTCTGGGGGACAGCTGGGGAGCCCGGTGCAGTGGGCAGTGCCGTCCCGGAGCTGGTACTCACCCCCCGAGCCTCGTCTTTTCAAGCGGACCCAGAGGACCTGCCTCGGAGGGTTGAGAATTCTACCAGATGACAAATAAGTCACTTAGCACTCTTTCCGGCGTGTGTCAAGTATCGAATCCCTAGTACCAGTCACTGTTCCGAGACCCTCTTGGGTCCTCAGTTTGGTTTGTGGGCAAGAGCCCCCAAGCTGGTGTTTGAAGCCTGAGCTAAGTGTGCTGCACGCGTGGTGGTATTTATTTACTTAAATATTTGTTTTTATTTCATTTGTTTGTTTGGCTATGCCATCTCTTGCTTGCCGCACGTGAGATCTTTGGTTGCAGCATGTGGGGTGTTAGTTCCCCAACCAGGGATCTAAGCGTGGACCTCTAGGCCGTCTCCATCCTGTGATATTTAATCCTCACCTTAACTCAGCTACGGGGCTTCTCAGGCAGCACTAGTGTTAAAGAACCCGCTTGCCATTGCAGAAGACCTAAGACTCGAGGGGTTCAATCCCTGGGTCAGGTAGATCCCCTGGAGGAGGAAATGGCAACCCATTCCAGAATGCTTGCCTGGAAAATCCCATGGACCGAGGAGCCTGGCTGGGGTCACAAGAGTCACAACTGAGCGACTAAACCACCAGCGCCTGACTGAGGGACTGCTGTTATTATTCTGTTTGCAGATGGGGAGACAGGTGGAGGTGGGGAGGAGAAGTGGTTTGCCTGTAAGCTTTACACAGAGAGGCGGGCGTTAGGACCCAGGTCTCTTCTGACTCTGCTGTCTGCTGTAACTCTACAGGGAAACTTACCGGAAAAAAAAAATAGATACCATTTTTCAAATTCCAGGTCTCCTTAAGTATAAAGAAGAACTAACTATTTCAGGAAAGTGCCAGTGGGGAATTTTTAAGTGGAACAAGGAATACCTGGCAGCCTTCCAGATTGGGGGTGGGGGGGTGTTGCTTATGTTCAGAGGTGAAACTTTCAGGCTCTAGGTGTTTCCCACATAGTTGAAGAGCTCCAGGCAGACTTGACCCCGTGCCCCAGGGCGGATCCCTGCCTACTGTCCAGTTCATCACCCTGGAGGTGAATGTGCCCTGCAGCGTCTACTCAGATCCTTAAAATAGAATCCTGTGCGCCCGGCCTGCGTTTCCTATTACCTGGTTCAGGAAGGTGAGGAGGTGATTATCTGGGTTTACTAACCTCTGACTTTTGTAGTCCCTGGTTCAGGAAGGTGAGGAGGTGATTATCTGGGTTTACTAACCTCTGACTTTTGTAGTCCCTGGTTCAGGAAGGTGAGGAGGTGATTATCTGGGTTTACTAACCTCTGACTTTTGTAGTCGTGAACAGTTAATGTTACTTCTTATTTCTATGTGAACCTCGTTGGTGAGTCAGTCCCATGACCTGGGAGGAAAGGTCTCCCAGCTCCATCTTTAAAGTCAAGAGGATGACGCTTACTGATGCTCATCTCAAGCGTGGCCAGGAACTTGGAAGTCCTAAGCGCCCACCCCAAACGAGGAACCTGCATCCCGGTCACTTCCTGTGGCTTCCTCTTTGTCCCTCCTACTGTCCATCCCTTGCAGACGCACTCATTCATGCAGCAGACTGGAAGAGCCTGACGTCCTTTAGACAAGGGTCTTCTCTCCGGGGACCCAGTGCTTTTCAAACAGGAGTGCCGAAGGACCTGTTTTTCAAAAATTTCCCCATTGTCACAGATGGACCCTATTGTAAAAATAGGATAAAAATGATCTACTTGAAAAAACTGAACTTTAAAAATACCAGCGACATGTAAAAAACAAGCCCCATTTTTTAAACTTAATTAATTTATTTTTATATTTATTTATTTGGCTGTGCCAAGTCTTCATATGTGGCTCATGGCTTCTTTAGTTGTAGCATGTGGGATCTAGTTCCCTCACCAGGGGTTGAACCCAGGCCCCCCGGCGTGATGAGCGCAGAGTCTCAGCCACTGAACCACCAGGGAAGTCTCTACACCCGTTTTTTAGGGTAAGATTCAGTAGCCCACATTTTCAGTAGACTTGTGCTTGAGGGCAGACTCACAATCCAGGGTGACAAATGTCTTCATGGGTCTGCAATTCCCCGAAGAGAGGGACAGAAATCATTTTGCAGGAACCCAGAGGGTTCAATCATATGACTACCAGAAGCAGTCTTGAGAATCGGGGTCTCCAGCTTGAATGTCCCCACGCGTCCAGTTGTCCGCGCCTGCGGATGGTTGGGTGGAGCTGAAGCACAAACGCTAGATGCAGCCACGTCTTAGGAATAGTGAACAAATCTCTCACCATCGAGTTCTTTTGGTGGCTTACTAGCTCAATGTGCTTAGATGAGGTCCACATAGACTTACTCTACAAATTGAAGTATTTTAAAATAATTTGTATTGTATAAGTCCAACATTTTGTGATACTGCTCATATGAGGAATCTGAAACGTGCAACAAGCCAGTG